GGGCGCGCGCTAGTGTTTACAATTAGGTCTAAGGATGTATATTATCATCAGGAGTTCGAAGGAATCAGGGATCCCCTTGATTTCCTGGATTTTGTTGTTTTCATATGGCTTTTGGAAAAGGAGTTCAAATCAAGGTCAATCTTGTTTCGATTGATTTCAATCTTTTTTCAGATGATTTTGCTGTAATTTACAAAAACGGTTGTACAAAGAAATGAACGAGATTTCATAATTTTTCAGCTCGATTAGATGTAAATGTGTGTTAACTAGATTTTGTGTGATTTCACTTAGATTGTATGAACAGATTTCATATTTCAATTGGTTTTCAGTAGGTGCTGATTAGACTGAAATTTAGAGTGCAATTAGATTTCAACTGTCTATAGGTAGACATCAATTGGTTTTAAATAGCTTTCAACCAGATTTCAATTAGCCTTTACTTAGATTTCAACTGGTTTTAATACAGCCTTTGAATGGATTCAACAGGTAACAATGCGAGTTGCATTTGATTTGAAACGATTTTAATTGGATCCCCTCTGACTCTTTGCAGTAAACCCTCCGCCCAATAAGGAATGCACGGGCGGGTCGTAATTAGGGGGAGGGCTGTCATTCGGGGTAAGGGGTTCATCCGCAAACAGATCCCCCACAATCCCTCCATCAACCCTGGATGTCTGGAGGTCCGCAGGGCACATGGGGATTTCCCAACAACATGTGCACTTTTCCGGGGGTCCCTATGACCAGGATTATAGTATTTGAACGGTCTATATCGGGGCGCCCGTTTAGGGAAATTACCATATCCACACTGAGAAACTTCCGTGCTAGGGCCTAAATCGTTGAATAGTCCAACTACATGGAGGTGTACTCAGAAAATGCGATGTGCTCAGAGGTAAGGTTCTAGGTACCTTGTTCGGAGTCTGTCGCGTGACCTTGGGTCCTTGTGTGGGATATTCTTATGGCTTCTGAAACGTGCAGCCCCAACGCCCGAGGAACCTGTACATGTATATGCCACAAGCACAAGGATGAGATCAAAGACGTCCGTCTAAGAAAAAGGCTCTCAATTGTGCTACGTTCAGGTACCGCTCAATCGGTGCCCTTAAGCCTTACCCTAAACCCTAACCCCTAAACCCTAAATCCGCAGACCTTGAACCAAACCTAAAAAGCACGTGCGAGTCGTGTGATAGTTCCAGGGGACGGCCAATGGCAACGAAGTATTTTATCACATGGTTTAGGGTTTAGGACGGGGGGTTTTAAAGGGGTATATACCGCCACAGTGAAGAATCAAATGAAAAAAGAAGACTGAAAGTGAACAATGTCACTGTCCCTTTCAGTCATGGACACTGTGATACTAAGTGGCTCATCGGGATTGGGTTCCGAAAATTAGGGTCCCAGCGTGGTAACCCCTCGAGTACCATAAGCGCGCCCCATTTGGATGTAAATAGCACAAAATCTGCGCGAAGTCTGGTCCGGCCCATGCTCTGGGGCGTACACACATTTTACCACTGAAATTCTACCAAATTAGTCTAGTTTGGGCCCTCATACTTGAATTCCTGTCACAGTCTGGCACCTGGATGAGCTTCCCCCCTTCAAAAACCGTACTCCCTGGAAGCCTGAACCCCGAACCCCGATCTTAGCAACTAATGTGGAAACCTGCATAGCTACTTGGAGGGTCAGGGGGACTTAGTAAGTATGGTCTATTAACCTGCGTACTAAGTCCCCCTGACCCTCCAAGTACCAACACTGTTTTCCGTAGTCTCTCGCGTCCAGTCTATTTGCGCATGGGGCGGTGTGCAGAACAAAGTCCTGTTCCTAGAGTATAACAAGAGTAAATCTTTGCCGCTACAAGGGGGACCCCATGTCTGGGAACGCATGCGTCTAGTAGTTGTAATAGTTTCCCAAAATAGGGGGACCCAATATAGACCTCAAAATACTGTAGTCCTTATTAAGGGGACCCCCAAAATGGTACCCGCAATTTTAGGAAACCCCATCTAGCTCCTAAATGTCCAAATCACGCACCTCAAGATCTACAACTCTGAACTGAACCCCAAGCCCTAAACTATACTGTCAACCTCAAAACTCTCAATTCTACCATCTAAGCAGGGTACAGCCAGTCGGGAGCGGAAGGCATCGGGAGCGTAGGGCATGAGAGGTTTCCTTCCGAACGCGGTTTATGACTCCATTAGTGTTTAAAGCTTGGTATTTGAGATACCATTAAATTTTATAGCCCGAGTTCAGGGTTTAGGGCCTATTCGGCTTTCATTTTTACAGTAGAACTAAGTCTTGCCTAAGGCTCCAAGTAGCCGACTGCAGGTAGAATTTGCTAAATTAAGGGCCCAACGTAGGCATTATTTATAAACTTCAGCAATTCGTATACGGTTTAGGGTTTATAAGGCTTAGGGTTTAGGGATATTAAAACATTTTCCAGTTCTGTCCAACCATGACCCCTAATATAGGGGCCCGGAATGACTTGGCTAGGCTTACTTGGAGGCTCATGGGACTTAGTAACTACTTATAACTGGGATTGTAACCCTACTTATAACTTATGATTGAGGTAACCCCTATAAGACCTTTTAGGGGGATTATAATAAGCAGAGTTGTCAAGTTAGAAGTCATGGCCTCCAAGTAGGCTTAAGGTAGCTGATTCACCGATAGATGGATGATGATGGATGCCAGCTCTAATGGAACACTCTTGAAGCCCGATACTGTTGAAGAAGTAGTAGACCAAGCACTTGCAAGGGGGACCCAACTAAGACCCTAAATTCGAAACCCTAAGCCGTAATCCCTGAGCCCTGAGTCCTAAAACCCTCCCTACCCTAAACCCCAAACCCTAAACCCAAACCCGAAACCCTAAGGCTTCTAGTCTCCTAACAGGGGAACCCAAAGCCTGGACTGACCTAAGGGCTTTGCTAGTCCATTCGGGGTGCTCCACCCTCCCTATACTTCCCGCGCGTATTCTGATTTAGGGGTCTAGGGTTTAGGGTTTAAGGGTTTACGGTTTAGGCTTTGCTCCCTATAATTCCCCAGTATAAAACTAAAGCCTATACCCTAAAGCCTAATGGGGAGCCTGGTGTGTTTGTGTTGGAAGACCCAGCTTTGGATCACGGCCCCGTTGGTTACAAGCAACCGAACTACTATACCAATGGGACCTTAAGGGGCGGTTAAAGTTTATAGGGTCTAGGGCTTAGGGATGTTCCTCGATTCGACATTTTTCAATTACATCCGAATTCTTGGGTTACTTGAACTTGAACCTCGGGTGCGAACTGCAGCCAGACCTCCGCAAGGGCTTCAAGGGCAGTTCTCAGTGGACCCTACCATAAACCTCCAAGCCTAGTCTGTTCACCCTAATCCCGCCACAAACTCTAGACACCCAACCCCCTGAACTCCTTATAACCCTCTCCAGAGCCCTAAACCCTCCTGAACCCTAAATCCTAAACCCTAAACCCCAAAATCCTAACCCCTAAATCCCAAACCCTAAATCCTAAACCCTAAATCCTAGACCCCAAACCCTGTTGCGGCTGTAAATTCTCATGGCCTGTCCATGGATGCGTAGCAGTAGGGCATCTCGCGGAAACCCGCGGCCTGCGGTGGGGAAGTGCACTGCTAAATGGGGCTTTGGGGTTTAGGGTTTAGGATTTAGGGTTTAGGTTGTAGGGTTTAGGATTTAGGGTTTAGGTTGTGGGGTGTAGGGTTGAGGATTTAGGGTTTAGAAGTCAGGGTTTAGGGTTTAGGATAGGCTTAAGCATGGGGCTACTATGGGACCCTCAAACATATGAGGCCCCTACAAAGTCATCACTTGCCAGGGGGTTGTTGGGGACTCTTAGGGGTTATTTGGGCTAGTAGAGGCTTTACCCTAAACCAAACCCTAAACCCTAAACCCTAAATCCTATATAACCCCCTTTATAAACCCCCTTTAAGGAGTTTAGACTAGGGCTCACTAGCTTGGGCGGCTACATAGTGGGACTCAGGGCCTAGGGAAGTATAGCTCGCCAGGAGAAGAGCCAATTCAGGGCCAAGGCTTTGGAGTTTAGGGTTTAAGGTTTAGGGTTTAGGGTTTAGGGTTTAAGGTTTAGGGTTTAGGGTTTAGGGTTTAGGGTTTAAGGTTTAGGGTTTGGGATGGTTTGGGGTTTAGGGTC